CGATCTCCCCAAAACCCCAAAACCCCAAAACCCCTTATGTCGTTATAAGTTAATAGATTGAAGTTTCAAATAAAGAATTATAGGAATTAATCACCATACGTTTGATTTAAAATCACTTAGATCAATGCTAATGAAGCAGATCGACATCAAGTCTTTTTGTTTTCAAGTCCACTTTGGCTACCAAGACTAGGCATATAGCTAATCCTACCAAATAAACGAATTAGATTATGTCGTTGAAGATATGATTGATAGCGTCAGTGCCCTAATAAGCATCATCTGACTAGTCACTCACTAATGTTACAGCAAGAATGCATGGTTTGGCGATAACGTGGAGACACGCTATTGATAAGCCAGCACTCACTGGGAATGATATTTCAGTTATTAGTTCATAGACTATCAACTTTAAAGCACCATTAAAGAATCCTTAGGCACAATAGCCGAAAAAGAAAACAGTTTTATTAGGAATAAGATAACCTAACTCTCCAATGAATGTAAACAACATGTTGCCTATAATCGTAATTGCTAGTGCCATCTTGTAGTTTGGTTTGAATGTTATCAAAATGGATGTGATCAAAATTCCAGCCATGTAAAGATAAGGTTGAATGTCCTCTCTGACAGTGTTGAATTCATTACCGACAGCCTCCTCAAAAACATACCATCTAAAGTTATAAGGTGATGAGAAAATGTATATAAGGAAGAATGTGCACATTCCATAGATGAGTTTAGCATTTTTTTCCTGAATTAAAGTGCCAATCTATAAGTGGAAGTTGAAAGGCTTGTTTCTGTCAGTCTGGCTCTTTGAGGGCATTTGATCAGGCTGATGTTTAAAGAAAAATGCAAACAATAGGAAAAGACCGAAATTCACAATAGCAAGGCCTAGCCAGTATGCCTCAAGATAGTATCTGAAGTTCTCATATTGCCAGTCAAATGGCTTGCTGTCATCAGCTGGGACATGATTAAGGTAGTATTAGGTGGTAAGGTTTCCAAAGTGGAATGCAATTAGGATGAGTCCGGTCGCAATAATTCTCTCGCGATGATCGAACCACGAGCTTGTGACTTTAGTTATGGAGTTGAAGATTAAGACTTAGGCAAGTGAATTCAGAAGCTCACCTACAGTTGGCCCGACCAGATCTGTTTAGAATACTTTTTCATTTAATGATCTTCCAAACCACAATGCAAATGTTTAAATTATGAGAGCAAAGCAGAATGTTCTATACAAACCCCACTCTTCGATCCATTTAACTGACATCAAGAAAAATATCAGATAGTAGAATGGCTCGACGTAGTAAAGATAGTCTGGTGTTCCAATGTTGTTGAGATCGTAACAATTTTGATTGATTAGAAAAGCTAGCATAACCATAATCAGCATGGCAAACCTGATTGGACTTTTGCCGTAGCCTTAATCTCCTCGTTTTTACTAGTCACTATTTCTATGAATGAATTGCTCATTATCCTCTTAGTTGAGGGAAAACGCCTAAGTGGAATCCATTTAAATTAAATATTGATTTTTCTTCAAATCATACGTTTGGATCTTATTTGATAGTATGGGGTTTTGGGGTTTTGGGGTTTTGGGG